GGATTCTTTAGGGAAAGCCTGGACTCTTTAAAGTGGTGTAAGAGCTTTAAATGTGTGGTGTGGAATTCCTCCAAAACAACTGGGGAACTGTGCAACCCTCTCTCTCTCAGGCTACGGTCCTGCCCCAGGCTCAGGAGGAGGAGGAGCAGGAGGGTTCTTTATTAGATTAGGTTTGTATCCTGCCTTTCTATTTTCATGCTCAAGGCAGCTAAACCATCAGAACTACATAAATCAATTATAATAATCAATACAATAAGAATAGCAATAAGAATTATTTACCAAATCTAAATAATCTGATAGAAAGTTGAGGGAGGGGTGATCTCTCCATCGGCTGCAGTCTTTGGACACAACATTTCAATGATCATTATTGTTGTTGTTGTTGTTATTATTATTAATTTCATTTCTATACCACTTTATATTTTCAAGAAAAATCTCCAAGCAGTTTACAGCATATTAAAACATAAGTAAAACAATCTGAAGAATGTCAAATATAGAGTATACAGTTAGAGCAGCATAGTTAACAAAAAACTAAAGTATTAAAGATTTCAAAATAAAACATTACAAAGGAGGTCAACTACAGAATACATATTTGACACAAAGTTAACAAAAACAAAACAAAAAACTTAAGCATCCCCCCCCCCCAAAAGCCAACATTGCTAAGTAAAGTCAAATATAAAATGCACATTTAAAACAGCAGAATTCACAAGAGAATAAAATATTATCATAAGCATGACACGGCTGTTTAGCAGGCACAAAAAGATGGGGCAAAAGAATCCAATAGTTTGGGTTTCTTGTCAGGCAGAGCGATGTCCCTCTGGTCTCACCAGGAGCCTCTTTAGTAGAGCTGGTGTCTGGGCCCTGCCCCCCAGGCCAGGTGGAAAGGGCCTTGCAGAAAGCGGCCTTCACAACTCACAACCGGGCAAGGCCATCATGCTGACACACAGTTCAAAAGGAATTCAATTATGATTCCAATCATAAACAGGCAATGATGTTGCTAGGTGAAGTCAAATGCCCTGTTCTTCTGCTTACAGACTTCAGAAAGGCTTTCAAATTTTCAGTCTTGAGTTTGAGTGATACAGAGAGTCAGTTCCAGCATTGCAGTCTGCAGGCCACACTTGGTTTAGGTCTCCTATTTTTGCAAGATGACTTAGCTTCCTTTTGCTTGTAAGAGCTTTTCCTCAGTCAGCCACTTGGCTCTTAAAAAGTTAAGAAATGATGTCCTTTCAGAGACAGGGGTGCACACTGAGCATAGTCCCGAGGAGCTGACACCACAGGTGTGGGGTGGAGAGATGCAGGAGGTACATTCCTTCGTTATGTGCACACATGCACATGCAAATGCAAACACACAGAGGGAGTAAATAACTGTTCCCCACATCAAACAGGGGGCGCTTTTTGCATGGTCGCATGCAGCCCCCCATCCCATGCGGCTCCCAGCACTACAGCCTGGATTCCCCCCCCAGGCTGGACACCTGGAGGTAGCCGCCTACTTCTGCCAGTTACCCAATCCCAGCTGGGGAGGCGTTGCCAGGAGAGAGTTAGCCAGGGAAGGGGAGGGATCACCCAGATCACACAATAGTGGGCGGAACTTACCTGGGAGTTCTCAGTCAGCTTCAGAGCTTCTTCCACCCTGCCCTCCCTCAGTTAAGCCTTCTTTTGCAGGTTAACCTTTTCTTCACAGGTATGCAGGCGCTGCTACGTTATGGTTGCTGTTAAAGGGCCAGAAAGGAATTTTCCTGCATTGGCAGGTTTTGCCTTCCCCGTAGCAAAACATCACAACTTTGGTGGTTTCAGGCCTTGGGCAGAATCCTTTAGCCTATCTTCCCTAAATCGGGGGAGGGAAGCAGTGACCCACGCCCCCCATTGTGGTGATCCCAGGGTTCCCCAATTAAAGGGGTTGTTTTGAGGGGAGTCATTGGCCATATGCCATTAGGTTGTCATTGGCGAAATGGGGGGCAGGCTCTCTCCAGCGCCAGCCCAATCCCCACACATTCTGTTCCCCAGATCCCCGGCTGGGGACTGGGAGGGTTAAACGCCCAATGCCTAAGCCAAGGTCTCCCTACATCTGAAGTTTTAATAAAGTTGTGGCCAAGTTTTAATCCCATAACACGTTGTCTTGAGTCAGTATTCCACACGGGTGTCGCCCAGGGTTGGGGGGTCTCCGCCTGTCAGCGCAACAGTTTTTTTGCAGTAGGAGCTGCTAACACAGCCATTTACTTCACCCCCAGAGGCACACTCACTTGTCCCTCGAGACAGACAGATGGCAGCAACTGTAACATCTCCTGCAAAGTAAATGGGGCATTGAATAAATATCATGAAAGAACAACAGCAAACTTGAGCAACAAATACACACTTTCTCAGGCTGCATGTTGAACATCTCTCTCTCTCTCTCTCTCTCTCTCTCTCTCTCTCTCTGTTACAATCCTGACCTTTTCCTCACTAATAATAGTGTTGAGGTTCTGGACAGTTTAGAGTTAACACTCCAAGAGGCGTTCTTATTCACTGGGTGCCTGCCCATATCATCCGGGGGTTTTCCTTTTGTTCTGAGAGTCTCTGAGAGTTGGTTTCGTTTTTGTGAGAGACAGAACGCTGCAAGCATGCAGCTTGATTCTGTCGGTTTCTTTTCTGTTTCTTTATGCTTCTGAATAAACACCTTTGGGAGAATAGAAGCACTGGTGTCAAGTTGATTTATTGGAGACACCACTTTGACACAGACCAAGCCATTTATGCTGCATACGAACTCTGCGACGGCCGACAACTGCGGAGTGCGGCAGCATGCTGAAGAAGCGGGCGGGTGGCCATAAACGTCAAACCAGCTCATAAATAAGGCCAATTGTCGTGCCGGGCAGCAGACTCCGTGGGTCAAAGGATTTACCATCTACAAACTTTAACATGTGTTACCGGAAATTCCGAGGGCTCCATTGGGTAAAAGCAAAGACACCAACCAGAGTAACTTGGAGCAAATCAGCAGCCTGTAGGCCTGGTCTTTATTGAAGAAAGACTGTCGTGACAGGACTCCACCGCCCACAAGGTGAAGCAAAATGGAAGCCCAGAACAAAGGAAGACTCCCAACTTTTATTAGCTTCTAATCCCTGTGTTACACCCTAGAAATACATCATAACTACATCATGACTACATTAAAAACAGGAGGAGTCAGGGAGGGGTTGCACAGGTAATCTGAGTATCCTGACACCTGGCCGGAGCTCCTTCTCCCCCTCCCCAAGAGTCATTTTCAGAAGACAAAGGGATAGGTGCAGTTTCCTGCCCCCTGAGGGGAATCCTATCACTGTCCCTTTGTCATAGTCCGTGTTTAATCCACTAGTGTATGCAGTTCGTTGTGTCCTTGATAGTCTTCTGTCTGAGCCCATCAAGATGACTATCAAGGTTGCCATGTCAACTGGGAAGGGCTGTAGAGTATGTGCCTGCTCAGTCAAGGGATTATGGCCAACTGGTATTAGGTCACCCCCCTTTGATAGTCCTTGTGATATGAAGCAGAATAAAAGTGATCTGGTGAAGATCCGATGTACGGCTGATTTATAGTGAATTTATGAAGAAAACTGTCCTTGAAGTTCAAAGCGCTTTCGTTTTTCCGGAAGCCGGTTGCAACATTTTGATTAAATCAGTCACGGTCAATTGAACTCGGAAACTTTGTATTTGAGGGCTGTCAAAGTATAGAGAAGCGCGCCTTTGCCTGCAGTACCTGCGTGGCCGCCACAAGGTGCGCTGTTCGGTAACGCTGATTGGTTGAAGTGGCAGCCGATTGACCTCGAGTTCGGAGAGCTGGTCGACCCATTATAAGAATAGGGCGAGGTAGAGTTTCACGGTCTACTCAGGGAAAATGCATCAAAATAAAGGGGTTCCGTGCAGAGCTGTCAAGTTAGCGCTTCCTTATTTACGGAAGGCTTTCAGGGGATACCCTTCTAGAAGGGTATCTCCAGGCTTAGGGAGGTGGGAGGTGTGTGTGGTGCTTGTGCATTACAGTGTCCTGCTACAGTTCCCCCCTTCGGAGATAAGATTGCGAAGGTGGACACCGCGCAATCCTTTTCTCCGCACAAGCTAGTAAAAGTCTGACATGCCATACCCAGAATCCGGATTTCGCCGAGCTCCCAGGGGTCACATCTCGATGGAAGTTGAAGGGGTTCCTGGTGGGAACATCCTGTGAGAGGCAGGCGTGTGGGAGCGGAGAAGCGGAACGCAGGAGTCACACGTTTGACAGCAAAGCGGGAAACAATGGATAGCGCAGCAGAAGAAAGCAATGCAAACAGCTACGGTTATCAGAATCAGGAGTCCGTTTCCCAAGAGTTGTTTTATCCATCCGGATCCCGGTAGCCAGCTCCAAAATTGAGCATCGGATAGACCTTCATGTTGGATATCTCTAAGCTCGTCTGTCAGTTTGTGGATATTGTTGAGATGACCCGTAATGTTCAAGGTCTGATCAGAGATGTACGTACAGCACTCAGTTCCTACGAGGGCACATACGCCTCCGGTCGAAGCCAGAATATAGTCCAAAGCAAGACGATTCTGAATCGCCATCTGTCTGACCTCCATCAGCTCCGTTAGGATAGATTGGGTTGCCGCGTTAGATTCTTCCATAAAAGTTAATAGAATGTCTGTCAGTTTAAGAATGTCTACATGGTTGGAACCTGCTCCGTAGGCGGGGAAGAGGGCTCACCCATAGGTTTCCCCATTGGCTGACACGTCGGAAAGTTCTGACAAGTCCTTTGCCCTCTTGTTGCGTCTCCTTCCAGGGGGGAGGTCTGGGGTGACCCTGATCCCAGGCAAGATTAGTCCAAGGTAGCAGGTGCCCCGGGAGTGGGGGCTGGCCCATACATAGCCACGATGGCCGCACACCCAAAACAATCCCTGTAGACAGGAGTCTATGCGGCCCGTGAGGAAGGTACGGAAAAAGCACTGGGAAACGGGGAGGGGTCCCAAGAATTAGGCAAATTCATCACTTGTTTCCAAGCAGACAACAGATCTGGATGAGTAGAGGGGGTGCCCTGTCACCACAAAGTGATTTTACCGGTCAGGGTGATGTCAATGATGTATTTACAGGTGCTTTCTCCAATCATCCTGTCATTGCCGCTGAACTTCCGACAGAGGTCGCTTTTCGTAGGTCCGGTTAGGTAGATGTACTGGTGAGTTAAGTTTACGGCAGTCAGGTTCCAGGACTGTACATCAGCAGAGAGGTGTTGTTGTAAGGTGAGGGGTACTCCAAGGAAAGGAATGCCACTGCGGAGGTGAGCACAGTCGTTGGCACAGATCCAACAGTCGTCGGTGGTGGTCGTTTGCTTTGCAATTTCGGAGACCAGTTTCACGTAGGTGTTGGAATGCCAGGCGGATAACAGGTCGTGATTGGTAGGGGGTTCAGATATCGACAGTTCCCCCCTTTGTCGAGGTGCCGTGCCCGCGGGGTGGAGGGGGTCCTGTCGATGTAGGTAGGTGAGGTTTGTAGCCACACCTCCACATCTTTGGGGCCCAGTAGTATCCCACTCCGCGGGTGGGGTGGTGGAGTGATGCCAGCCCTCAAGGTACGCTCTGCCATCCCAGGTAGAGGCGAGGCCGATGTCCCAGACGCAGCAGTACCTTCGGAGGCAAACTCCCTGGAGGGTGGTGGGGCGAGGTACGGAGTCCACTCTCTGGCAGTAAAATCCATGAATCAGGCGGTCGGTCGGGTGATTTCGGTCAGTGTAGACTGATTCCCCACCGCCATTGTCCAAGATTGTCCAGTTTAGCGATTGTTGGGGCACACCGTCGGAAAATAGTGTATAGGAACCATTTATACAGCGGGCTCGGGTTCCAGGGGCCATCTCGGCTTACTATGAGTTTGCCGAGTGGGGTGTAAGTTGGAGAACGGATGAACAGTTCCCAAGTTTGGTGTGTGGTGAGGGTAGGTAGTATGGAATGGCGAAGGAGAACGCGGGTCTCCGGTACGCAGAAGTCAAAATCCCCTAGGCGGTCCAATGTCCCTCTTTTTACCATGTCCACAATTCCGAAATCAAGATATTGGTGCTCAATTTGTAATCCTGGGCATGAAACATGTGTGGTCATGATGGTCGTTGAGCAGGTCATGATAGTGGCAAAAATGGAAAGCATGAGTAGGACGGAGGAGGGAGGAGGTAGGGTACGTCTAGTGGAGGGCATGGTAGTCAGGAACAGGGTGGCGGTAAGCGGCAGGCTGTGAAAGGCAAACTGTCAAACGGCGAAGCTGTCAAAAGGCGGAGCTGTCAAAAGGCAAGCTGTCAAAAGGCAAGCTGTCAAAAGGCGAGCTGTCAAAAGGCGAGCTGTCAAACGCGAAGCTGTCAAAGGGCAAGCTGTCAAACGGCGTGAAGCGGTGCCTTACGGAGTTGGAGGCGGATCGGGGGTTGCTCCCGGTTGTCCGTTGTAGTGACGATTTCAGAGGTCCAATGGGTCGGTGTTGGTGTTGAAGCAGGTCCGGTCTGTAGGGCCCGATTCGTGCCCCGATCTGGTCCGGTCTGTAGGGCCCGATTCGTGCCCCGATCTGGTCCGGGCTGTTGGGCTCGATGCGTGCCCCGATCTGGTCCGGTCTGTTGGTTCGCCTCGCGCCGGTGTCGTCGCCTGCCGGTTGTGGGGAGTAGAGTAGGGCGCGTTGTCAGTGGCGGAGTCGGGTGGAGAAGCAGGTTTGCAGCGGGTATGATGTAGCCAGGCCGACTTCTCTGCTACCTTGACAGAGGTTGGGGTAGTTAGAAGTACCTGGTAGGGTCCTTCCCAGGTGGGCTGTAGGGGTACCTTCTGGTAAGTCTTTGCCAGTACCCAGTCCCCTGGTTGGAACGGATGGATGTTCTCGTCTAGAGGTATGTTTTGACTCCCGGCCGCAGTATCTGTGGAGAACAATCAGTTGCTTCTGGAGCTGTATTATATATTTGGTTAATTCAGACTCACCTACTTCTAGTTCTGATGGGGGAAATTGGGTGTTGTATACGGGGGAGGGTCTCCCAAAAAGTAATTCATAAGGAGATAAGTTCAGGTTCCCACGGGGACATGCCCTGAGATTATGTAGGACCAAGGGGAGGGCATTGACCCATTTGATTCCAGAATCTTTGCAGAGTTTTCCCAGCTGAGACTTAAGCTGCTGGTTCATTCTTTCAACCTGCCCTGAGGATGGGGGGTGATATGGGGTGTGTAATTTCCATTTAACCCCTAGAGCTTTAGCTACTTGTTGCACTATGTCGGAGGTGAAGTGTGAGCCCCTGTCGCTGTCTATGTGTCTTGGAACCCCAAATCGTGGTATTATTTCATGCAGTAGAACTTTAGCGACTATTTGGGCAGTAGCTTAGCGAGTCGGGAAGCATTCCACCCATCCGGTCAATTGATCAATGATGACAAGGGCATGTTTGTAGCCCTGGCAAGGGGGTAGGTCTATGAAATCGACTTGTAGACTCTCAAATGGGACGAAAGCCCATGGTCTGGCTCCTGGTGGACATCTGGCGGTATGCTTAGGATTAAAGGTTTGGCAGGTGTGACAATTCCTCACTGTCGCTTTCGCAGCGAGAGCTAGTCCTGAGGCATACCAACAGCGTTGTACCGTGTCTATGAGCTTGTCCCTTCCCCAGTGGGTACACTGATGTAAGATCCTTAAGTGTTTGGGTACCCAGAGTCTGGGCATTAAGAGTCTCTTATCGGGAAGCTACCAAATGCCATTTTCTAAGAGAGCTCCTTGTTCCTCCTATCCCTTTATCTCCTCTGGGGTTGCAGTTTTGTACATTTGTTCAAAGTCCACATCTGAAGGAACCTGAGGTCCCTGGAATTCATTGTCTGCAGATAGCGGCTATAGGGCTGCTTCCTGCACTACGCGATCAGCACAACGGTTCCCTACTGAGATCAGGTCTTTCCCTTTGGTGTGAGCTTTACAATGCACTACCGCTATAGCTTCCGGGAGATGTATGGAATTCATGAGACGTTCCACTAGAGGCGCATGGGCTATTTGGGTGCCTGCAGCTGTCAAGAAGCCCCTTTGCAGCCAGATCTGTCCGGTGGCGTGAACCAACCCAAAGCAATATTTTGAATCTGTGTAAATGGTAATTCTTTGTCCCGCCCCCAGTTCGCAGGCTCGGATGAGAGCAATAAGTTCAGCAGCCTGCGCACTGTACTTGGCATGGACAGGGCGTGCTTCTAAGAGGTCGATGTCGCTGACAATAGCGTATCCGCTTTTCCGTTCCCCTCCCACTACCTTCGAGCTTCCGTCAGTATACAAGATGAGGTCAGGGTCCGCTAAGGGGAGATAGTCCAGGTCTTCCCATGGCTTTTCGGCATGGCGAACCACTTGGGAACAGTCGTGATGTGGGGTTCCATCGTCGGGGAGGGGTAAGAGAGTCACAGGGTTGAGAGAGTTTACTCTTTTTATGGTGACATTGGACGGACTGAGGAGGATAGCCTCGTACCTGTTCAGCCTTTGTATAGTGAAGCGTTGGCACCCTTGTAAGCTGAGAAGGGTAGCTACGGCATGAGGGACGTTTACAGTTAGATCATGTCCCAAAATAGTCTCTTGCGCCTTTTCTAGGAGTAATGCTGCAGCTGCCACCGCTCTAAGGCACCCCACGTTCCCCATTACAGCAGTGTCCAACTGGAGGCTGTAATAGGCGACAGGCCTATTCCTTCCCTGAAAGGGTTGTGTGAGGACACCAGACGCTACCGCTTTATTTTCATGGACGAATAAAGAGAAAGGCAGCCTATAGTCAGGGAGTCCGAGGGCAGGTGAAGATCTCAACTCCCGTTTGATAGATTCGAATGCTTCAAGGGCCTCCGCAGTCCATTGTAGTTGGTCTGGGGCATTGTCGTGGGTCATTGTAGTAAGGGGACGGGTGAATTCTCCGTACCGGGGGATCCAGGCGCAACAGAATCGGCTCATCCCGATGAAGCCCCTGAGCTGTCTTTTCGTTTTAGGAAGGGGTAGCTTAGTTATGGCCTCAATCCTATCTGTGGTTAGGGCACGGGTGCCTTCTCCCAGGATGTGGCCAAGGTATTTCACTTCCTTTTGGCAGTACTGTATCTTTTTTGGGGATACTTTGTGTCCCTTATGTGCCAGTATCGTCAGGAGAGCTATAGTGTCTGATCTGCAGGATTCTAAGTCCCGCCCACAAAGCAAGATATCATCAACGTAAAGCCTGAGGGTGGAGCCTCCCGGAAGGGCCACATCTAATAGGTCTTGATGTAATATGGAAGAGAAGATTGCCGGAGATTCTACATATCCTTGAGGCAACCGGGTCCATGTTAGTTGACCGGTTTGCCAGGTGAAAGCAAAGAGGAATTGGCTCTCTGGGTCCACGGGGATACTAAAGAAGGCAGAACATAAGTCGATGACGGAGTAAACTACAGTTCCCTCCGGAATGGTGCTCAAAAGGTGGTGGGGGTTAGCGACTACAGCGTGCCTGGGAATAACGAAAGAATTGACGAGTCTGAGGTCTTGCACCAAGCGCCATTTGACGGGGTTTGTGTTGGGCTTCTTGACAGGAAGGAGAGGGGTGTTACACGGAGAGGCACAAGGAACTAGAACTCCCATCTTTAGGAACTCGTCAATCATTGGAGTGAGTCCCTCTATTGCTTCCGGGGGTAGGGGGTATTGCTTGGTGCAAGGAAACGGTAGGTCCTTCCTATAGTTTACTTTTACTGGGGTTGCAGACTTTAGGAGTCCAACTGATGTCGATTCGGTTCCCCATAGCCAAGGGGGAACACTATTGAGAAGTTTGGGAGGAAGATCAATGGCTTTGCTGTTAGCTTCCTGAAGAATCCCTTGGAAATTGAAAATGGAGTCATTTGGCATGTGCAAATAAATTCCTTCCTGGCCACATTGGATCGTAGCGTTCAGTTTGCAGAGCAGATCCCTCCCCAAGAGGTTGACGGGGCTAGAGGTTAGTAAGAAGGTATGTTTGACCAATAGAGGTCCGACTGAGACTTTTGCAGGTTTGGAAAGGGGGCAGTTCCGGGGGATTCCATTGAGTCCCATCACAGTCCTAGTTTCTTCCCCCGGGGCCAAGTGGCTATTGGTAAGGGTGGAGTAAGTGGCCCCAGTGTCAAGGAGGCAGTCATAAGATTGTCCATCGATTTGCATAGTGCAGATGGGGTCAGAGGAGGATAGTTGTAAGACTGGGCAAAGAAAGGAAAAGGAGGCGGGATCTGCTTCTGATTGTCAATATTCATGATACTCTTCCATCACCATCTTGTAGGGTATGTTGGTTGGTCGGTTAGCGTGATTGAAAGGGTTGTTGGTATGGTTAGGTGGGTTCCTTGGTCGTGGCAGAGGAGGGGGTCCCATAGGGGTTGCAGTAGATCCCCTTGCAGGTGGTGCTTGACTTTGAAAATGAGAAGATCCATACTGGGTGGTAGGATCATTGAGTTTGGGGTAGGTTGGTTCCCTGTATTCTGATTTAAAGGGTTTGTACTCCCTATAGTCCATTCTCCTAATTCCCTGATCTTGTGTGCGGGTAAGAAGGGGGCAGTTTCTTTTCATGTCCCCCGGCTCATTGCAGTGATAACAGAGGGGGCCTCCAGTGTGCTCGTGCCCTTTCCCTCTTGGCTTATCTTTGGAAGGGAGTCCACTTGCATAAGCTAGTACCCGTGGGGAATCAGGCTTTGGATCTTTTCGCTTCCTTTCATCCCTTGAGTTGAAAACGGACTTTGCAATGGAAAGAATCTCATTCATTGTTTTCCCGTCATACCCTAGGTGCGAATTTAATGCTTTCCGTATGTCGGGTGTTGCCTGGTCCTTAAAGAACCCTTTAACGATGACCTCGTGCTGTGGGCTCTCCGGGTCAATCCCACCCCAAGTTTTAATCGCGGATACTAGCCGGGTGTAGTAGTCGGCGGGGTGTTCATCTGGTCCTTGAAGGGACGGCTTGGACGTTCGTCCAATTCACAGTCCGCTGTCCTGCAGCTTTTATTCCATCCAAGATGGCTTTCTTAAAAATCTTTAAGCCCCAGATACCGTTATCAGTATTGTAGTCCCAGTCTGGGTCGTTAATTAAGTTCTGGGCGGTAAGTGGAGCCATTGAAGCGGGACGGCCTGGTTGGTAGTCTACCCGGGTTAAAGCCTCCCCCACTTTCACCAGTATTTCCTTTTTCTGCCTCATTAAAAAGGGCCCCAAGTAGCATATGCACATCTGCCCAGGTGGGGTTGTGGGTGGAGAAGATGGTGGCCACTTGACGGTGGCATTTGTCAGGGTCGTCCCGGAGAGAAGGCATTTTGTCCGACCAGTTCATTAAGTCCGCGGTAAGAAAGGGCTGGTGAGTGAATACCATGGGAGGTGGGTCTCCTGCCCTGGTCGGGGGTATGGGGAGTGCCCTGAGGGGAAAGCGCCCTCCACCTCTCCGTTAGCCAAATTGTCCCTGTTCCGTGTTCTACTGGAAACCGGCCCGTCTCTTTCCCCATTAGACAGATCTTCATTTAGTGGCGCTCTCATATTTGGGTCGGTTTGGTCCTCCCCTGTTTCCCATGTGCCTTGGGGAAGGTTGAGCGACGATGGGACTGGTGTATTGAGTGAAGGGGTGGCGGCGGCGGGATTTGTTAGGTTTTCCCCAGGTCTTGCATTTGTCCCAGCCCCTGCTCCTGCTCTATCTCCGGCCCCTGGTCTTGGCGGTGGAGGTGCCATCGGCTCAGGGTAATAGAAAGGGATAAGAGATCTATCCAGTTGCTCTTCTTGGGCTTTAATTTCATCATATGGGGGAGGTCCGGTTGTTTTTAAGACGGCCATCTGCCGGACAATTTGGGCTTGTTTGCGGTGAAATAGTTTGCGGGCTTCCACGAAGGCATTAAGATAATAAAGTTGTTGGGGCCTTTCGTCCGCTAGATAAGTTCTAAGTGCTTGCATCTTTGTGAGATTAAAGGAGCCATGAGGTGGCCATTGAGATGCTGGCTCCAGTTGGTGGGTGAAGGCTACCCACGAGAGATTGCAAAGGTCCCTCAGTTTAGACTTGGAGAGACCCTTCCTTCCTCTTAGTTCTTTCCAGTTTAAAAGGATGAACTCAAGAGGAGTATCGGAGTCCTCCCTAGGGCGAAGAGGCTTCATAGAAGCCTGGTCACCGGGGGGTGTCCAGTCTGAGTGTTTAGAAGCGTGAGCTCCCATTTCAGTCTAATGCCAAGGAGTTGCTCAATATACAACGCTAGGGGTGGAAAAAGAGTACAAGAAAGGGACAAAGAAGGGGGGGTAGAGAAAAGAATAGGATATCAGTATTTGACTTTTCCTTCTTCTTCTAACTAAAGGCAACCCCTGCCTACCAGAAAACCACAGGTCTCTCTAGCCCAAACTACCACAGGCGACCTGCCTGAAAACCACGGATCCGTAATTTTTTTACCCAGCGCTGCTTACAAAACTAGCCCTAGTGTGGGGCCCCGGTTCGTGAACCTCCCTTTCTATCATCCACGACAGCCTCCTGCCTAGCCCTTGGGACTAAGTTCGGGATTCCCTACTGAACGCCTGCACAGTGCAGTGCCAGATCGGGGTCTGAGAAAGCAAAGTTTTGAAAGGAAGCAAATGACCTTGCGTTCTCACGTACACGGGTCATCCCCAACAAGGGTCGCCGAGCAGGAGGGGCGGCTTCATTTGCATGGACAGAGGAGAGACAGAGAGAGAGAGAGAGAGAGAGAGAGAGATTTGTCAGGACGCTTCCGGGCGACTCCGAAAGAAGACGTCAGAAAAGGATTATAAGGAGGGTTCCCGTGGTTTCCCCGGCCAGGCTCCGAGAGGGTAATCGGGGAGAGGAAGAGAGAGAGAGAGTTTAGGACGTTCCTGGTCGACTCTAAGGGGAGACATCAGAGAGAAAAGAACAACAAAAAGTTTCTGCGATTTCCCGGCCAGGCTCCGAGAGGGAAATCGGGGAGAGGAAGAGAGAGAGTTTAGGACGTTCCTGGTTGACTCCGAGGGGAGACGTCAGAGGTAGAAAGAAGAAAAGCCCAGCTGTCGTGGAGACGTTACCTTTCCACCCCCCTCCCAATGTATTTACTTCAAACCATGCTCACATTCATAGATGTCCCTCGTGGATCCCGGGATCCTTTCTCTTTAGCCAGCTTGACCTTGCCTTTGTTCCCCCTGGCTGGGCTTTTGGTGATGATTGATTACCGCCCGCAAAGAGGAGGCAGGGAGAGGAAAAAATGATCCCCAGGCCAAGGTTGCCCAGTGGCGCCCAATCCCCTCTATCTCCCTCCTCACCTTCTCAGGAGAACCAAGTGTCCCTGAGCACGGTCGCCAAAACTGTTACCGGAAATTCCGAGGGCTCCGTTGGGTAAAAGCAGACACCAACCAGAGTAACTTGGAGCAAATCAGCAGCCTGTAGGCCTGGTCTTTATTGAAGAAAGACTGTCACGACAGGACTCCCACCGCCCACAAGGTGAAGCAAAATGGAAGCCCAGAACAAAGGAAGACTCCCAACTTTTATTAGCTTCTAATCCCCTGTGTTACACCCCTAGAAATACATCATAACTACATCATGACTACATTAAAAACAGGAGGAGTCAGGGAGGGGTTGCATAGGTAATCTGAGTATCCTGACACCTGGCCGGAGCTCCTTCTCCCCCTCCCCAAGAGTCATTTTCAGAAGACAAAGGGATAGGTGCAGTTTCCTGCCCCCTGAGGGGAATCCTATCACTGTCCCTTTGTCATAGTCCGTGTTTAATCCACTAGTGTATGCAGTTCGTTGTGTCCTTGATAGTCTTCTGTCTGAGCCCATCAAGATGACTATCAAGGTTGCCATGTCAACTGGGAAGGGCTGTAGAGTACGTGCCTGCTCAGTCAAGGGATTATGGCTGACTGGTATCAGGTCACCCCCCTTTGATAGTCCTTGTGATATGAAGCAGAATAAAAGTGGTCCGGTGAAGATCCGATGTACTGCTGATTTATAGTGAATTTATGAAGAAAACTGTCCTTGAAGTTCAAAGCGCTTTCGTTTTTCCAGAAGCCGGTTGCAACATTTTGATTAAATCAGTCACGGTCAATTGAACTCGGAAACTTTGTATTTGAGGGCTGTCACAGTATAGAGAAGCGCGCGCCTGCTGCCTGCAATACCTGCGTGGCCGCCACAACGGGTGCTGTTCGGTAACGCTGATTGGTTGAAGCGGCAGCCAATTGACCTCGAGTTCGGAGAGCTGGTCGACCCATTATAAGAATAGGGCGAGGTAGAGTTTCACAGTCTACTCAGGGAAAATGCACCAAAATAAAGGGGTTCCATGCAGAGCTGTCAAGTTAGCGCTTCCTTATTTACGGAAGGCTTTCAGGGGATACCCTTCTAGAAGGGGCATCTCCAGGCTCAGGGAGGTGGGAGGTGTGTGTGGTGCTTGTGCATTACAGTGTAATGAAGGGGGGGGTGTCTCCTGCTACACATGTTATGGCCAAGATAGCAACGTGTTAATGGCAGCGTGTCCTGAGGTGATTGATGGCCAGGACGGGAGGTCTGTGTGTCTGTTGCAGCCAGCAGCTTAAAAGTCTGGCTAGAGGCCTGTTTTGTGCCATGCCTGGAGGCACAGAGCAGTAGAAACTCACTGGTGAAAGCAAGCCATTTTCCAGAGCTGGGAGCTGAGAGCTGGTACTTGTATCTAGAACCCAGGTGGGCCTGAGACGGCTGCTTGCAAAATTAAGTTCTTATTGCACAAGGAATGCTTTATCTATAAACTATGATAAGACGCAGGTCATTGTATTTGGGAAGCGTTCTAAAAAGCATGTTTGGCACCTGGATGAACACATCATAAACCAAGAAATACGTTTAAATATCTGGGATTGATTTATTCAGAAACGGCATCTTGGAATACACAGCTATCCAATATTAAATTGCAAGCCTTTAAATCAGCAAAAGGTATTCTGAAATTTGCTGCCTGTAATGGTGGAAATCTGGTCAACCCAGCTCTATCTGTGTATAAAGCAAAAACAATGGCCCAGATTTTATATGGTGCAGAGGTTTGGGGTACCTCAAAGGTCTCGGGTTTGGAACCCCCACAGAATTATTTTTTAAGAGTTCTTTTAGGTTTACCCAAAGACGTGCAATCTGCCATGGTCAGGTTGGAAACTCGCATGTTGAGCATAGAGAGCCAAATAGATAAAAGAATTCTCTGCTACTGGTTTAGAGTTCAACAGATGGACAACACTAGGCTACCAAAAAAATGCCTGATTGAGCTCTTGTAATGGTTCTAGGGGTTGCTCGTGCGTAAATCGGCGCCCCACCTGGCTGGGTTGCCTGAGTGAACCTTTTCTGTCCGGACAGCCACTCGCCCGTGGCTGTCTCAATCACTGGCAGAATCCGTCAGTTTCTTGAACTTCTTCCAGCAAAGAAGTTCTTTGACGCCTAGTCTCCCTGCGCGGAAGCCTTCTGCGCAGGGAGGGTGTGGGCAGCGGAGGACCCATGCTCTCCCCGCTGGTCCCCGGCGAAGAGTCATGGAGCCACCTCGCCGATTCCCCCATCTGCCCCCCTTCTCCACTGTTGCTACGCTGATTTCCTTCCCCAGAAGATGTGCTGCTTCTCTCCCTCCCGGGACGCTCTCCGGAATCCCTCTGGAGCCCTCCCTCTCCCCCTGGCTCCGATGGCAGTTCCCTGACAGCTCTCGAATTGATTACCCCTTAAAAACTGGGTACATCATGCTGCCCAACTGATGGGCAAATATGACCTCTCAGTGACTGAGATTAAAGAACTTCCCTTATATTCCCAGAAAAATATCTTTAAACGAACCATAAGGGCAGTGGCAACTAAAAACGATCTAAACTCTATGTGCACATCTACATGCGCCCCATTGTATTTTAAACTTAGAGAGGCCAATGAACACATATCTTATTTTAATGAATTGACCTTTGCACAACTTCGAAAAGCTTTTACAGAGCTACGACTAAATACAATAAGCTCTGCTTATAGAGATGGGAGACACAGAGGCATACCAAAAACGAATGTGTTTGCATTAGGGGATGTTCTGAAGTAGAGGACCTTATGCATTATATCTTGCACTGTCCTTTATATAATGATGCAAGAAAAAGATTTTTGGTACCTATAATGACAGGGTCCCCTGGCCAGAACCCCTTTGACATGATTTTATATCTCCTCGCAGACACAGATAAGTATGTGACCTGGCGTGTAGCACTTTTTGCAACTGCTGCTAGGAAAATTAGAGCATAGCCAAGGTAGCCATTAACTGTAAAGGAGATGATTATTAGTGACCATGTGATGATTTTAGCTTATGAATTTTATTGTTTAATGTTTTTATTTGTACATTGGGATACTTTTATAGCTCTGTTTAGAGTACGTAATGTTTTAATAATATAAATGTTTTAAGTCTTTTTTATCAATTCAGTATATTTTCTTTTAATTGTCAAATAATTCTGTGTACATTGCAGCAGCCTTTGGCTATGTGCAATAAAACTGACTGAGACTGACTGAGAGCTGGAAGCTGGAGAGAGCAGCAGCCGTGTAAGTAACACAAGCCCCAGAAAGAAAAAAAAATGGCAGAGGTTCAGGAAAATTTTATGGTGGCCTTCCCAAGGCTGACGGGGAAGAACTGGGTGGACTGGTCCACGAAAATGCAGGTTTTGTTAACTGCTAAAGGCCTTTGGACTTGTACGCAGAACCCACCTGTACAGGCCCCGGCAGGGGCAGCAGACGGAGTTGTAGCTGCTGCAGCTGCAGAGCTGAGAAGAGACCAGAGAGCTGTTGCTCATTTGGTCATGGCCATTGATGGGGCTCAGATGGTTCACACTGACCACGCCACCTATGCCCACGAGATCTGGGGGGCCCTTCAACGTTTGCATCAGTGGGACATGGCTGGGGCCCGGATTCATGTCACCAGACAGCTGTTTGAGTTACGTTTGCAACCGGGAGGCTGCGTGAAAGAGCACATATCCCACATGCTGGCGTTGTTCGCAGAACCCACCTGTACAGGCCCCGGCAGGGGCAGCAGACGGAGTTGTAGCTGCTGCAGCTGCAGAGCTGAGAAGAGACCAGAGAGCTGTTGACCACCACCAGGGTGCAGTGCCAGAGGGGGCAATTCCAAAGAGAGAGGTGAAGCCAGAGACCAAGAGTGCACTCTCATCTCTGCAGGCTAGGCCTAGCAGGTGCAGGCGCAGGCGCAGTAGATCTCCATTGTCTCCCACAGCCAAGCTCAGTCCAAGAACGCACAGCAAGCACAGCAAGTCGCTTGGTGGTTCACCAGACGCCAGGGATTCACAGGCAGAGTCCAGCACGTCTGGGTCAGAGGGGGAGTCTGGCATGGGGCCAAGACGGTCTAAGCAGACCATGAAGGGTAAACCACCTGACCGTTTCACAGTCACGAATGTGTGGGCTGGTTTTGCTCAGTGCAAAAAAAGAAAGCTTTGCTGAGGTTCAGAAGTTACCTCAGGCAGAATCCAGAAAGCGGCAGGAAGCCATGGAAAAGGAGCTTAGTGCCATGAAGTCTCTAGGAGTCTTCACGCTCACAACTCTGCCAGCTGACCAGCAGGCAGTGAGTTGTTGCCGGGTCTACCGGTTGAAACCCACTGCATGTGGAGAGCCACAATATAAAGCCAGATTGGTGGCAAGAGGTTTCAGCCAGTGACCAGGGCTACACTATTCTCAGGTGTACGCGCCCACGGCCAGAAATGAGACCATGTGATTGCTTTTGGCGATAGCAGCGCAAAAGAGGTTCTGAGGTCACTCATTTTGGCATTGATGTTGCCTATTTAAACTTACCGCTGCAGGAGGAGATTTACATGTTACCTCCACCAGGGTTTGAGGGTGATAGGCCAGGTCTGGTATGGAGACTGCACCGTTCCATTTATGGCTTGAAACAATCAGCCAGAAATTAGAATTTATGTCTCAATGAAGCTCTGGAGAAGCTAGGGTTTCAGAAGAGTCTGGCAGACAGCTGCCTGTACCTGAAGGGGTCAGGCCAGCAGGAGGAACTTGCTCTTATTTTTGTCAGCAACATTATATTAGTTGCCAGGACAGGTAAACAGGTGCAGGAGTTTGCAAGGAAGCTGAAACAGCACTTCAAACTCAAGAAATTAGGTCCTGTGAGCATGTACCTAGGGGTCCAAATTCACAGAGACCAAGATGGCAGTTTTTTGCTAAATCAGAGAGCAAAGATAGAGCAATTGCTGCAAAAGTTCAAGATGGCAGACTGCAAAGGTGTCAGAACATCAATGGAAACGTGTTTTCTTAAAGACAGCCAGTCTGAGGTAAAGCCAGAGTTTGAGAACCAGGAGGTGTTTCAATCTGCTCTGGGGAGTCTGCTATAGCTCTCTCAATGGAGCAGACCCGACATAACATTTGCTGTCAATCTCCTGAGCAGAGAGGCTGCAAAACCCAGTGTGGTGGCCTGGAATGGCGTAAAAACGGTCCTTAAGTATCTGCAATTGACCAAGGAGTATAAGGAATTATCTGTGGGACTGAATGTAGGTATGTTTGAATATTTTTGAGAATTGTGTGAAATGTGTGTTTGTATGCTTGTATATTCACAATGTGTGTGTATTGATGCTGAATTATTTTAATAATAAAAACTTTTTTTCTTTTTTTCTTTTTAAAAAAAGAGTTCTTAAGTATCTGCAAGAGACCAAGGATTACAGCCTCACACTGTCAGCTCAGGGTGATGCACAGCTTCAATGCTGGGCTGATGCAGATTGGGCCAACACCTCAGACAGGAAGTCAATCTCCAGAATGGTTGTAATGTTTGGAGGTTCAGTAATAGGCTGGAGGTCCAAAAAACTGTTAGGATATTTCCGTTCCACCTTAAAAGGGAGCAGGCTGTGAGTCACAGAGTCTGCGTATTTCCTGTTCACAGGATGTTTATGTTTTCTGTTGCTTTCGTTTTCTCTCTGTGTCGTAGACACTAAAGCAGGCAGTCATGTCTTTTCTGTGTTCTGATCAACGCTGAATAAACTTGTAAATAATGCTCTCCTGAGTGCAACCTTTTGGCTGTGCATTATCTGCTGATAGTGTGCATGAGCTCTGGAATGTGGCAAGATATTTTCTAGAAACTCATGTCGCTGCGTGCTTACGGGAGGTCGATGGATCGTCCGGCAGACGGCTTGGGGGCCTTGATGGACTTTATCTCCCTGGCAGTATCCCAACAACAGGTTATGGGCCCAGATTCACGGCATTTACAGGAGAGTAAGACTGCGGCAGACTGCTGAAAGGTATGTGGAAGAAAAGCGAAAGTGAGGCTTTTCTGTTTGCCGAGGCAAGGGCCTTTGAACTCCGGCAGACTAATGGATCTGGGAGCCGCACCAAAGGCTTCATGATTTATGGGCTGCCGAGATAAGACATTTTTGAAGGCATAAAGGTTCACGGCTCAAGAAGCAACCTGGAATGGAGTTTTCCAAGCTTCTGAGGCTGCTGAGTGCCCAAAGCTAAATCGGCACAATTATGGGACCTGGGCTGTGTGGTGTGAGAGTTTGCTGCGTCAGTGTGGAGTGTGGCATACTGTGTGTGAGGCCCCTCCAGTTCCTCTGACAGATAGATGGAAGGCCAAAAATTCGAAGGCGATAGACATAATAGTCTTGTCCGTCTCTCTAGAGGAAATAAAAACGCTTGCTGGCAACACCACTGCACGTAAGATGTGGCATGCTTTGAAGATAGCCCATTTGCCAGTCATCCCAGCCCAGAGTTTGACTGCATCGGAGGTCCTGGCTGTTTCCCAGAATGCGAGTGAATGCAGGGATGCTGAGGGCACCGGTTGCAAGCTGCAGGGGAGCTGACTGTTACGTCATCCCAGGCAGCATTCCAGCCTCCAGGGGGAGCCAAGGGGTCGGCAGCTGAGAGCTCTGTTTCTCATGGGAACCAAGGTCATCGCCTTTGCAGAGGCCGGAAGGGCAAAGGTAAACAGAGGCAGACGCCTGCAGATGGCCAAAAGCAGAGGGAGGGTGAAGAGCCCACGCCAGAGGAAAACAAGGTTTTGTTTGCTGGCACAGCTTCACCAAAGGCTAAAGGCAAGTCTGATGGCCAGGAGCAGGGGGGCAAGCTGCAAAAGCCCACGCCGGTGGAAAACAAGGCTTTGCTTGCTGCAAAGGCTGCTCCAAAGGCCAAAGCCAGGTTTGTTGTTGATTCAGGCTGTACCCGCCATGTCTCAAAAGACCGCCATCTCTTTATCTCCTTCAAACCTCAAGAAGGTGAGATCCACCTGGCTGATGGAAAGACGTTGCGAATCGCAGGAGAAAGGACTGTGAAACTGGCAAGTCTGCACACGACCATCAAAGATGTCCTATATGTTCCAGGTGCTGCAGACAATTTGCTCAGTGTCCCACAGCTCACTGGGCGTGGTTTTGAGATTTCCTTCAAGAGGAGCGTCTGTGTCATCAGAAAAGGCAAAGAGGACATTTTGCATGCAAAGTTTATGGATGGCTTGTTCTGTATAACTTATGATGACATTGGTGCTGTTGTGTCTAATGTTGATTCTTGTTGTGTTGCACAAACTAACAAAGTTCTTCATGCAGGATGCATTCACGATGCACATCGAAGGTTTTGCCACCTCTTTTGGAAGGCACTGGCCAAGATGCCAGAGATGGTTGAGGGTTTGAACATCAAACCCTGTAGGTTTCACATGAAATGTGTATCTTGTGCAGAGAACAAGGTGAAGGTTGCTCCAAAAGGCAAGGAGTCTAGCAGGCAGGCTTCCAAACCCTACCAGCTAGTCCACGCAGACCTGGTTGGTCCACTTGCGCCCTCTTTGGGTGGAGCAAGGTACTTCATGGTTCTAATGGATTCTTTTTCCAGGTACATTCATGTGTTTATGCTCGAGCAGAAATCGCAAGCGTTTCCAGTTCAAGGCATTCTGTGCTTGGTTGGAGAATGTTCACGGTAAACGTATTGGCTGTCTGTTTACTGATCGAGGCGGGGAGTTCACTTCTCAGCAGTTTGAAGCTTTCCTGACTGAGAAGGGAATCCAACATGACTTGTCAACGCCTAGATCACCATGGATGAATGGGCTTGCGGAGCGAGCAAATCAAACGTTGCTGCAAGGAATGAAAACATTGTTGCATGATGCCAATCTCCCTGATAAGTTTTGGGGAGAGGCTCTGTCGAATTTTGTTTACACTTTTAATCGCAGATTGTCATCACCTATTGGTTGTACCCCCTATGAGAAGATGTTTGGTAAGAAACCCACCATCCAGCACATGAGAATCTTTGGTTCTGACATGTGGGTACACACCCCACAAAGCAACAAGCTTGGGAAGCGTGGGGCACATGGTTTGTTCATGGGGTACGAAAAAGGTGCATACAGGGTATGGATGACTGACTCTAAGTCCATTAAGTTCACAAAGAGTGTTGAGTACAATCCTAAGTGAGGGAAAATGTGAGAATTTTCCAGAGTTACCCAGAGGAGGATGAAGGTGATGTCAAAGAAGCAGCTAAAGCTGAGGAAGCTGCTGAGGATGATGATGACGATGATGATCAGAGTTTGGATTCCAGTTCAGTGGGCGGCGCTGCTGCTGGTGTCAGTGACAGTAATGACACAGCAGACTACAAGAGCGCAAAGGCCTCAGTCAGACCATCTGATGTGTCTGACAATGAACTGGAAGAACCACTGTTCACCATTGGTCACTTTTCTCCTAAGAAGGAGGAGATGAGTCCAGAAGACTTGCGTCTAGTACGCAGATCTGAGAGAGCCACGAAGGGCAGACCTCCAAAGAGATTTGCTGATGAGTTTGCTAAGACGGCAACTGCTGTTCTTAGTAGCTCAGAGAAGGTGTGGGAACCTTCAAGCTTCAAAGAGGTTCAGGAGTTAACCTCTAAAGATGCTGAGCCTTGGCTAAATGCCATGAAGGCTGAAGTTGATTCCTTGAATAGGAACCAAACTTGGGAACTG